TTTGCTCACAAGATCCTCTCTGTGGACAAGTAGCAGATCAAGGAGGGCATCTTTCCAAGTCAGCTCCTCTAGGACCTGTTCCATAAAGTTGTCATCCAGGTTTTTTAAGGAATCTTCTGGCCTGGGTTGTATCATTTGTATGATGCTCTCAATTAATTTCTGGCAAGTTGAAGTCCCCCATGAGGACAAGGGCAGTTGACTTGGAAGTGTCCTTTAGTTCCTCAAAGAATAATCCATCGGTGTCATTGTCCGGGCTGGGAGGTCTAGAGGAGACTCCCATGGTGATATTGGCATTATTTGTTTGCCCCAAGGCCCTCCCACTACCCCCCAAAAAATGGGACTGGGAAGAACTTGGAAGCTTTACTGGAGCCACTGGGAGCAGCTGGGCAGGGGCAGAGAGACAACAGGGAAGGGGCGGACACATGATGCCCCCCAAAATCGTCAGGGGGACAGGGGGTGTCCAGTCTGGGCCTGAGGCCATGGGGAGGGACTGTGGCCACCGTTGGCTCAGGATCTCTGGGCAGAGAGAAAAGGGGGTGACACCAGGGTTGGGGAGTCCCCTGGGGGGGGAAACACACACTCCAGGGAGAGGAGGACATGACCCCTGGGGACCCTCCTTACCTTCTGGTGCAGGTAAAAGCCGAGCCCCAGTGCCAGGAAGACGAAGCCCAACACAAAGCCCCTGACCCCCGTCAGCATCTTGCTGTGGGTGGTGTCCAGCAGCATCTCTGGGGGCCTGGGGGGGTCAGGAGCCCCCAAAACATCTCACAGACCCCCCCATGACCTCCTAAATTTCATCCTAGTTGCCCCCAGCCCACCCTGGACTCCTGAAACCTCTTTCAAGTCCTTACCCAGCTCCCCTAGGAATCTCCAAAGCCCCTCCTAGCCCCTCCAGCACCATCCAACCACACTCCCTGTTGTCCCCGGCCCCCTGAGGAGTCCCCAAACCCTCCCCCAGTCCCTTCCCAGACTGCCCAGGAGCCCCCAAACCCCTTTCTCATCCTCCCCATTTGCTCAAATCACATCCCTAGTCCCCCTCCTGGCTCCCCTCAACTCCCTCCCAGGTACCCCCAAGACCCACAAACTCCCTCTCAGTTGCCTCCAGGACCCCCTAAAGTCTGTACCAGTTGCCCCAAACCTCCTCCAAGCCCCTTCCCAGTTACCCCCAGGACCCCCATCTGCGGCTCAGCTTTGGGGTCCTGCAAGATGCAAACATCCCCAACCATCCCCCAAGACAAAACCAAACAGACACCCCCAAGATATTTCGGGCGAACTCCCCCTCCCCGGTCACCTACGCGATGCGGGGCAGGGTGGGGGGGCGATGCTCCTCCCCTTCCTTCTCCTCTTCCTCTTCCTCCGGCTCCTCCTCCTGTTCGTTCCGCACGGGCGAGGCGCTCTCGGGTGAGCGGCGGGGGGGGACACGATGGGAAGGAGGGGAGAGGGGGAAAAGAGCGGGTCAGACCCCCAAACTGAGCAAGAAAGGGGGTGGGTCACCCCCAAAGGGAGCTGGGGAGGAGCTGGGGTTTGGGGGAACCTTGGGAAAGGGGTGGGAGAGGGGAGATAAGGGGAGATGGGACAGCGGGAAAGGGGTTCCATTGGGGCCCCTTCGTGTCCCCACCCCTTGGGCCCTGGAGAGGGGAGAGCCTGGAGAGAGGGGACCCCCGAGACCCCTGTCCCGAGCCAACGGGACCGTGCTGTTCATTCTGAATTCCCGTCAGGCTGAACAAAGACGGGCTCCCGTGTCAGGAGCTCTTGTGTTTTCTTGTCCCCAACACTTCCAGGAGCTCCCCCCACATTCCCAAAGTCCTGCCAGGACCTTGCGAGTGCTGGCTCACAAGGCCCAGCACAGCCCCCCAGTCCCCGCCGTGCCCCCGAAAGCTGGGATAGAACAGGAGAACCGAGCTGGGCCCCGGGTAGAGGCCGGGAAGGGAACAAAGAATGGCCCCGGGGCTTGGATCCCGCGTTGGTGCTGCCGCGGGTCTAGGCCAGATCTGGGAAACAGGGATGGGAAAGAGGGAAGAAAGAGACAGAGGAAAGAGAGAACAACGAAAGCGAGGGGACCCGATCCACTCCCTTTTCTCGTTAAACAGACTTCTGGGGCATTTTGTTCCCTTGGGTACATCCAACCCTTCCCCAAGGAGTGAGTTGCGTGGGCTGAGCCCGAGTCTCAAGGCAGAGCAGGGAGTTCATAGAATCAGAGAATGAGCTGAGTTGGGAGGGTCAGGATCATCAAGTGCAACTCCCGGCCCTGCACAGGACACCCCAAGAATCCCACCCTGTGCCCGAGAGCATTGTCCAAATGCTTCTTGAGCTCAGACAGGCCTGGTGCTGTGACCACTTCCCTGGGAAGCCTATTCCAGTGCTCAGTCACCCTCTGGGGGAAAAAACCTTTTCCTAACATCCCACCTAAACCTCCCTGACTCAGCTCCAGCTGTAGAGTCCTGTCACTTCTAGTCACAAGAGTGAAGAGATCAAGTACCTGCCGCTCCACTGCCCCTCAGGAGGATATTGAAGACCCCACTGAGGTCTGACCTCAGTCTCCTTTTCTCCAGGCTGAACAAACCAAGTGCCCTCAGCCGCTCCTCATAAGGCCTTCCCTCCAGATCCTTCCCCATCCTCATGACCTCCTTTGGACGCTCTGTTATGGCTTCATGTCTTTTTTATATTGTAGTGCCCCAAAGTGCCCCAGAACTTGAGGTGAGGCCACCCCAGTGCAGAGCAGGACAATCCCCTCCCTGACCCGGCTGGCAATGCTGGGCCTGATGCCCCTTAGGACAGGGTTGGCCCTCCTGGCTGCCAGGGCACTGCTGACTCATGGCCAACTGGCCACGCACCAGGACCCCCAGGGCCCTTTCCTGCAACTGTTCTCCAGCCTCTTGTTCCCAGTCTATACACACAGCCAGGGTTGCCTGGAGGAGGAGGAGGAGCAGGTGGAGGAAGAATGCAGCAGGAGGAGGAGTAGCGGGAGGAAGAACAGGGATAGCAGAGGAAAAGGACCAGGAAGAGCAGGAAGGTTGCTGTTCTGCTGCTGACTGTATCAGCAGACCCCCCACCCCCGGGAGCATCGCCCCTCCCTCCTGCATCTCAAAGGTGAGTGGGGAGAGGGAGCTCACCCCAGATGTCTTGGGGGATTTCTGGGGGTTTTTCGGGGGAGACGTTTGGATCTTTGAAGACTCCAAAATGAGCCGCAAATGCCCCTCAGGGGGACACTGGGGTTCCCGTTAGGTGTTTTTTGAGGGTCCCCAAAAAGCTGCTGGCAGAGTCCCGGCAGTGGGCGGGAGGATGTGTGTCCCCCCCCCCCCAGTGGGGGTTGGTGTTCCTGGGTCAGGCCCTTCATTGCCAGCCTGGAGCATGGAGAGGGGGGACCCCTGAGACCCTGAAACGGGGGCCCTGGAGAGGGGACCCTCAGGACCCCTAGCAGTCTGGACAGGGGACACCGCAGAAAGGGGAGACCCCTGGGACACCAAAGTAGGGATCCCAGAGAGGGGAGATCCCTAGGATTCCCAGGATCCCCAGCAGCATGAAGAAGGAAGGACCCCAGAGAGGGGGGACCCCTGGGACTCCTTGCACCCTGTAGCAGAGAATGAGGGGAGAAGGTACCCCTGGGACCCCCAAAACCCCCAGCATCCATAAACGGGGGGACCCCAGAGAAGGACTGCCCCCAGAATTCCAAAGGGAGCAGACCAGAGAGGAGGGACCCCTGTGTTTCACAGCACCCCTTACAGCCTGGAGACGGGGAACTCCCAGAACCCCAAAGCGGAGAGACCAGAGAGGAGGAATTTCTTGGGAGGGTTTTATTTCACTGAATCTTGAACTTTTGGAGTTTTGGGGGGGTAAATTTTGGTGTTTTGGAGGTTTTTTTGGCTAAATCATGGTATTTGGGGATTTTTTTTTTTCTTTTTGAAGGTTTTTTTTATGAGTATTGATGATTTGGAGGGGTTTTTAGCTGAATCATAACCTTTTGGGATTTTGGGGGCTGTGTTGGTGTTTTGGGGATATTTGTTGGGCTGAATCTTGGTGTTTTGTAGGTTTTTGTGGACACAAGATGCCTGGTGACTTCTAGAGATGGACTTGGGCAGGAGGAACCTCCAACTCACACCTCGTTTTTCCCCCAAAATAGGATTTCTCCTTCCCAAAGCTTGACCAAATAGAGGAGGAAGCTGCGAGGAAGAGGAAGATGCCACAGGACCCCAGGCAGTTGAGGAGGAAGTCAGTGCCCCTTTACCCCTGTTTTGTATCTCCCAGCTGAGCATGGCCCCCGGCTGCAGGACAACCCCACTGCTACTGCTGTCCTGCCGGGGATGGATTTGGGGGGATCTCCTTGCCCTTCTCTCTGGCACAGAGTGAAATCCCCTCCCTGTCCTTCTTCCTTCCTATCCTTCCTTCCTTGCTTTCCTTATTCCTTTTCTTTCCTTCTTCCTTTTCCTTCCTTCTCCTTTTTCCTCCCCCTCCTTCTTCCTTCTGCTTTTTCCTTGCTCTCCTTGTTCCTTCTTCTTCTCCTTCCTTCTCCTTCCTTTCTCTCCTTACTCCATTTTTTTCCTGTTCCTTCCTCTCCTTCTTCCTTTTGTTTGTTTCTTCTTCTCCCTGCACCTTCTTCTCCTCCTTCCTTCTCCTTTTTCATTCCTCCTCTTCTTCCTTCTTTTTCCTTTCTCACCTTCTTCCTCTCCTTTTTCCTCTCCTTGCTCCTTCCTCTCCTTGCTTCCTCCTCAACTTGTTCCTTCCTCTCCCTCATTCCTTCTTCTTGTTCCCTTTTCTCCTTCTTCCTTCTCCTTGTTCCTTCCTCTCCTCTGTTCCTCCCTCTCCTTGTCTTTCCTCCCCCAGACAACAACTTGAGGACAGAGACCATGAAGGACAAATCCCCCTGGCAGAACCTCATGGAAGAGGCTCTTTTGAACAGCTCCACTGTGCAGGAAGGCAACGGGGAGGAAAAGCCACAAACATTCCCCATGGGAAAGGGCTCCAAACCCACTCCATAGTGCTTCGAGGAGGAAAGACCCCCCATGTGCTGGGAAGGTGGCTGGAGCTTCAGCCAGAGCTCTGATCTGGTGGTCCATGACCAGCTTCACAGCAGAGAGAAGCCCTTCACGTGCTTGGAATGTGGGAAGAGCTTCAGCTGGAGGTCCCACCTGATCCGCCACCAGAAGATCCACACCGGGGAACAGCCCTACACATGTGGGAAGAGCTTCAACCAGAGCTCTGACCTGGTGGTCCACCAGCATCGTCACACTGGGAAACGGCCCTACAAGTGCTTGGAATGTGGGAAAAGCTTCAGCCAGAGCTCCCACCTCCTCACCCACCGTCGACTGCACACAGGGGAACGACCCTACAAGTGCCTGGAATGTGGGAAGAGCTTCAACCGCAGCTTCGGCCTTGTCATCCACCAGCATATCCACACCGGGGAACGGCCCTACAAATGTCCTGAGTGTGAGAAGAGGTTCCAGACCAGCTCTGATCTCCTTCTGCATCAACGAATGCACACAGAGGAGAGGCCCTTCCGCTGCACCGACTGTGGGAAGGGCTTTGTCCGCAGCTCTGACCTCATTAAGCACTGGCACATCCACACCGGGGAGAGGCCCTACAGGTGCTTGAAGTGTGGGAAGAGCTTCAACCAGAGCTCTGCCTTGACCTCACACCAAAGGACCCACTGGTAAGGGAAGCCATTTGAGTGCCCCAACTGCGGGAAGAGCTTCGTCCGCTGCTCCAACTCCATCACCCGTCGGAGGACCCATGTTGGATGATCCGCAGTGACTCACATTGGGCAGAGACCTGGTGGGTAAAGGCCTGTTGACCAACGTTTCTGGTGACCCATGTTCCTTGTAACCCACTGTGGTAGTGCTTTACCGCCCCCCCCCCCAGGCCTCGCTATGATCTGAGAAATGCTCGTTAGGCCTTGGCCTTGATGAACAGCCCCTGGGCTGAGCTGCTTTTGAGCTGCTCAGAAACACTGTCTGCTCATAGGAACTGGTGCTGTCTAATGGGGTCCTGCTTTTCTTAACCAACGGCCTTGGAAACTTGTTTTTCTTGCCCGCAGAACAACCCAAGTGGAATGGTATTTTTGTTCTCCAACTTTCAGAGAAAGTCCCTAACCTGAACTGGGGCCAGGATGGACAATTCCTGTGCCTTAAAGCCCCCTCTGCGTGGACCCCATAACCAGCGGTGCTGATTGAGACCCTTTGAGCTCTCTGAAGCTGCAGCAGCTGCAACAGCAACCTCCCTTTGCTTGGGCCTCTCAGAGCCTCCAACTCTCCCATTTGCTGCACTCGGAGGATTCTGACTGACAGCAGATCCGGGGCTGATCCCTCTCACTCCTTGAGGCTCAGCTGTTCTTCTGAGAATGTGCAATGCCATCCCAAGGGAGGATTTTCCTGAATCCCAAGGGAATTGTTCCCAGGTACCTTGTCCAGACTCTTTCTGTCTGTGTGAGTGTGAATCTGCCATAACAAATATCCCGGGAACGCTGCTCTCCTGGATTCTTCAGCACTTCAGATTGTAAGTCGGTCAGGCCTGTAAGTGAGTTACTGTTATGGTGTCGTAAATTCTATATGAATACTTTGCTAAATTGTTTGACTTCAGTTATCAGTTAAGTGCTGTTAAGTTAAGTACTGTTGGGCCTCTAGGCATAAACTGTTGATCAAGTTCAGGCTCAGTTTAGCATGGTGGCAGCTGCGGCAGGGGCCTGACCCTGCCCGGGATGGCTGATGCCACCTGCCTGCTCCTAACTGGGTCAGACTGGTACTCCCAGTGCTGTGTGGGCCAGGGTCGCTTTTGGGGACCCCCCCCAGCACTGCCCGGCTGCTTTTGGGGTGCCAGCACCTGCCCAGTGCTGGGGAATGGGCTGTGTAGGAGGAGTTGGGGCCAGACTGTTGGTGCTGGGAACCCCCCTGGCTGCGGGCGAGGGGAACTCGGAGGAGCAGGAAGGGGAGAGACAGTGGGAAAGCAGGAGGAAAGAGGGAGTGGGAC